ACACAGCAGGAAGCGCCGGAGCTGGTGATGGAGAACACCCTTTTGCTGGGAAAGAACAGAGTTCCTTGGCACACGCCAGAAGAACACTTGTGCCTGAGCCCGGCTGCCCGGGGCGGGCGCTGCGCTGCCCCGGCGCTGTCGCATTTGCAGCTGATTTCAGCACTTCACAATTCGGGTCTTGTGATAACATTTAGCACACAATTGCTGAACCACCCGGGGCGTGAAGAGGGGCAGCGCTGGGCACAGCCTGTCCCGAGGTGGATCCCTTACCAAAACCACAAGTGAACGATGCACAGGGCTGGGACGTGGTAACTTTATAGAGTGGGGAGCAGAGATTTATCAACAGTGTGAATGCAGTGGAGCAAACAGAGCAAAATAATGTGGAACAATCTTTCAGTTCTCTGGCATTGTGTGGGTTTTACTTTGTCAGGTGGTTTAAAAAGCAGCCAGCAATTCCTGGGAATGCTGAGTTTAAAAAACAAAGTTGGGGAGAGAAAAACCTCATCAAGCGTTTCTATAGCTTGGTGACCATGATTGGTGCCACTCAGCAAGGCTGGACCACAGAGAATTCACTGAGCAGTTGAGATTCAGAAACCCTTTTGTTTCAATATGGCTTAAAATGACAGCAAAAAGAAAATGGATGTAGGCCTGAAAACCTGACACATGCAAAGCTGTGATTGTCTGCACATCCGGGCATGTGGTGAGACCTATTTTAATGGCTTTAAAAAATACAAGTGCTACTGGAAAAGCAGAGTCACCAAGGGCTTTCGCAGGGCCTAAAGGAATGTAGAGCAAAAACCAGTTTGAAATTAAAATGCCTGGCCCAAAATCTGTTCTTCACATCCCCTTTTACCTGCTCCTCTGCAGAGCTGCACCCACTGCTCCACACCACTGCTGGCTGGGTGCACCCCAGCACGTGAGCACAGCTCAGGGAGGGGATCCTGCCCCTCTGCTGCGCTCTGGGGAGACCCCCCTGCAGCCCTGGTCCAGCTCTGGGGCAGCAGCACAAGAGGGATGTGGAGCTGCTGGAGTGAGTGCAGAGGAGGCCATGGAGAGGCTGCGAGGGCTGGAGCAGCTCTGCTCTGGAGCCAGGCTGAGAGAGCTGGGCTGGGGCAGCCTGGAGAAGAGAAGGCTCCTGAAGGGGAGACCTGAGAGCAGCTCCAGTGCCTGAAGGGGCTGCAGGAAAGCTGGAGAGGGGCTTGGGACAAGGGATGTAGGGACAGGCCAAGGGGAATGGCTTTAGGGGAAGGTGTCCCTGCCCGTGGCAGGGGTTGGACTGGCTGAGCTTTAAGGTCCCTTCAACACAAACCAGGCTGAGATTCAATGGTCTCTGTGTGCACCAGGGTCTGTGCAGAACTTGTTTCTAGCACAGACGGTGCAGGATGGCTCAGAGAGAGGAAAAGCTCTTGCCCTGACCCTGCCTCCACGTGGCTGCCCGGAGGATTCCTGCCTACCCCTGCAGGGTGCCTGTTCAGCCTCAATCCATGCCATTTCATTTTTCCTGGCTGGCTCTGGGAAGGGAGCATCTCAGCAGAGAACCAGCTTGTAATTTGAAATGGACATAAAATGAACTTCTCTAAATACACATGCTATGGTCTGCACCACCTTCCCTGTGTGCTAGCAAAAAGAACCACATGCGGATGTGACTGGGGGCTTGCACCAGAAGATAAAACCTCACATTAAAGCTTGGTGCTGCGTGGGAATTGGTACATGTTCCCATTCTGTTTGTGTCTCTGTTCTGCTATCGCCCTGCTTTACAAGTGCTGCAATTACTGTCTATTTTAATGACCATGGCTGGAGCTGCTATAAATACCAGAACATCTTGTATGCAGCGCACAGAAGTTCCTTTTCCTTCCAGAAGTGCTGTGGTGTTCATTTGCACCAGAGACTCGTGACCTGGCACACTGAACAACATGAATCCAAGTGCTTCTATGGCACTATTGGATCCACTGCACCCAATAAGGTGCCTGCTTGTCTGTAACTCCAGGGCTGCTCCATAACCAGACCTGGGGCTCTTGGTGTGTTTCTGGGTTGTTGTAGACACATAAAAACCCAAAAGGCTCCTTTTTTCCCCATTGGGGTTGCTTAGCAGGAATCCCATCCATGAGCTGTGCTAGGGACCCCGTGCCCAAGGAGACCCCAGAATAAGGGTGTCTTAGGTGCTTCTTGCTGACACTCAGATGCCATGGGCAGGGACACCTTTCACTAGACCAGGCTGCTGCAAGCAACCCTGAAACATGGATAACCCCATCCAGAGTTTTAGTGGTGGCCTTGGCAGTGCTGGGGAGCGGTTGGACCTGATGAGCTTAAAGGGCTTTTCCAACCTGGTTGATTCCACGATTTAATACCAGCTACGAATGCATCACACTAAAGTCGTCCTTGCCAAGAGGTGTCTGACAGCGCTCAATGCATTTCACACCTCCTCTTGGGCCTGCAGTGAGCACACATCCCAAAGTCAGACTCTCCCCTGCCCTAGACCCAGCACAAGGATTCATCTGTGCATTTGCTTGAAGGATTCCACTGTTGACCCATCCGAGGTTTCTTTGTTGACCACAGCTAATGCTGGTATGCAGGAAATGCCTGGGTACGGACCAGAACGGAGCTGCACTTCCCGTGTCTGGAGCAACAGACTAAACATCTCTTGACGCTCAACTCCCAGTGTCCAGCACTGCAGTTCTGCAATGATAACACTTCTGTGATATGGAAAACCACTTGTGAACAGCCTCACCTGAGGAAGGACTGCGCTGAAACACCCCTAGGGGCCCGTGTCTTCCCTAGGAGCCATGGGTGTGCAGGAGCCTGTGGGTTTCTCAGCCTTATGGGTTCAAACAGTAGAAGAAAATATGGTCCAACATGCAAGAGGATGAGAACACTGGGACTGCTCAGCCTGGGGAGGAGAAGCTGCGTGAAGGCCTCAGAGCATCGTCTGCAGAAAATGTTCTATGGAAGCTGCTTTCATTAAGCCAATATAAATGTGCCTCACCATTTCCTGTTCCAATTGCTTATTCTGGGTTAGAAAGCAACTGCAGTGTTAGGAATTACTAGAAAAGGAACAAAACCCAAAGCAGAGAGTCCCTATAAATCCATCTCAATGGATAATAACAGATAATGCTTCAGTCCTGGTGCTTCAGACAGATGGAACGGAGCTAGAAAAGGTACAAAGGTGACCAGAGGGATGGGTCTGGTTCCAGGCAGAGGACAAGCAGAGGCTCTCACAAGGCAGGACACAACATGGGGTTGTAAACTTCAGTTGTGCAAAGGAATGAATATTCACAGAGGCACAGACTGGTCCGGGCTGAAGGGACCTTTAAACCCCATCCAGTTCCAGCCCCTGCCACAGGCAGGGACACCTTCATGAAGTTCGAATTGCATCATTCACTCACCATACCCCCCTTTGAGGCACAGACGAACAGACAGAAAGCAAACAGCAGGAACAATAGTGGCAGAAACCCCACCTAATGCTGTTAAACAGGATGATGCCAGTGACCGAAGACAGAAACCACCGGTACTGCGGCTTCAGTGCAGTCCCCGACCGGGGCCACAGGCGTGAGCCGGTGCCCCCCCCTCGGGCTGCTCCACAGGACCCTGCACGGGTCTCACCGCACCAGAGGTGTTACCCCGGAGGTGCCTCTGGCTGCCATGGGGTAAGGATGCGTCCCGGGTGCACCGTGCCCGTTCCCGGGGCCCGGCCCGCAGGCGGCTGCTGCCCCCTTGGGGTGCTCGGTGCCTGCGGGCTCGCTCCGTTCTCAGCACGCTGGGTTTGCTCCTCTGCCCGCAGGTTCTCGTCTGTACAAAGCCGGTTTTGCCTCCCGCCGCACGGGAACTCAGCACCCCTGTGGGGATCCCACCCCTTCCCTCCAGTGAGGATGCTCGATCCCACTGCCATGTACTGACAGGAACCCCTGCCTCCTGACATGCACCCATGCAGCCCATGCAGCCGTGCTGCACCCACCGTGCCACGCCGAGGTCCTGAAGCCTGTTGGAGGAAGGGAAATAACTGGAGGTGACACCGGACAGGTTAGTGTTTTATTCAGTGCATTGGACTCATACATGGCCATGTTGTCACTAACAGCATCTCACACATTGCTATAAACCAGCAGAGCCCAGTCTCCTGTTAGATGCCCGGGGTAACATGTAAAGCAGCCTATCAAGTATTTACTGTAATGAGTGTAGCTCCGAGCCCAGTGCCAGGCTGTGTCCAGTGTCTGGTGCTGGGTTGCAGCAGTGGCTGGAGAATGGATCTGTGACTCATGGTTGGTGCAGGACTTCGTTCTCTCAGCCCACATTTATGGGGTGCTGGCAGCCCTGGGTCCCTCCTGCAGCTGCTGGTTTGATTGTGCTGGTGCTCTGCGCACGTGTGAGCTGCACCTACCACATCCCTAATGCACAGCTATGAAAAACCTGACTGGGGCCGGGGCAGCCTGTGTGTGCTCCATGCCAAGGACAGTCCCCCTGGCAGCACCACATGTCCACCCCATCCCTGCAACCGGGGAGCAGCAGGGGTCACAACAGCACAGCAAACCAAAGAGAAACACAAGGTGCTCAGGCCTGACTGTCAGGGCAGAGCGGGATGCGTTCAGGATGGACACAGCACACCTCCAGCACAGAGAACAAACTGGGCAAGGAGTTGGATGCTGGAGAATGCAGCAGCTGAGCATCCCACCAGTGCCACTGCTGCAGCACGGGTTCTGCTGCCTGCTCTGAGCCCAGCATAGGCAGGCCGCGTCCTCAACCCTTCCCACCCATGGAACAATGCAGGGAAGGCTCCATGGGTATGGCTTGGAGCTGGTCCTCGCTCCCTCTTGCAGGGCAGCACAGGCTGACAGGGCTGGTGCCAGCCCTGTGGATCTGCAGCAGAACAAATTGACCTCCACTCGTCCCCATGCATCACCCTGCTCCTGTGCTCCGGCCCCAGCTCTCATCCTGCCCCATACCTGCCCTCACTTGCTCATTCACCCTGCGTGTAAGGAAGGAGACAGCGCGTTGCCAAAGTAGCTATCTTGGAGGAAATAAATCTATTGAGCTTTATTGAGCTGCCCGTTGCGGGGCCTGGACTGTGAGGGCAGTCCCTGAGGAGCGGTGCTAGGGCATGGTGACTGTCCGGCCGGCGCTCCTGGCTGCTGTAAAGCGCCTCTTATTCCTCAGACCAGAGAACCTCTCATCCAGCGTCAGGCTGGTCTGCAGGGGAAAGGGAGACCGAGTCAGTCCTGCGCCTCGTGGCAAAGCATGGCCAAACCTGCAGCAGGGTATTGATTAGAGCCCATCAGTCAGGACGGTGCTTCGCAGCCAGTTAGTCAATTAAACCACTCAGCACACGGAGACAAGGAGCTTGACAGACCGGGTGCAGCTGGAAAACAGCTTCAAGCAGCACCTAGCTCCACGATACCGGCCATCCTCGGCAACAACAGGAGCAAGCACGTTGCATTTGAGCACCAGGCACCAAGTAAAACCAAACCATCCAGACAAGGAACGTCCAAACAAGCAGTGAAGAAGCTGGAGCAGGATCTCTGACCTGCCCCAGGGCTCTTGGACCATACTTCACCACAAAACTGGCACTGAGAAGGTCACCAAAGCAAAGAGAGAGCAAAGCCCACAAGTGCTGTGTGTCTCTGAGGAGCTGGGAGCACTGACAGTGGAACAGTCCCTGCCGTCCAGGACCACTCACAAGCAGGATCTCCCCGCTCCGAGCAAGCACATGGACAGGCCAAGAGGGGACAACGGAGTGGGGAAAACTGGGCTGAGTCTGTAGCCGCTGAACAGTCTTCTCAGATGCCTTCAGTTCAGTGAGCAACCCAGCCAACACGGCCTCTGCTCCCAGGTCAAGCTACACAAACCCGACCGGCAGCCCCAGAGACCTGAGCGTGGCGTGACCGGGTTAGTGGCAGGGCTGCTGCAGGGTGCGGGGTGCTGCCTGTGCCGTCCACCATCCTCTACCTGGTTGGCCATGGCGCGGAAGTTGAACCTCAGCAGCACCCCCTTGGGCTGGGGCTTGGCTGCGCGCGGCGGCGGCCTCCGGCTGCGCAGGAACGGGCGCTTGGGTCCGGGCCTGGGGAGAGCACAGACCCGCAGTCACCCTGGATGTGAAGGCAGCCGCTGCCTAATGCCTGAGACCAGCAAGGGAAGGAGGAGACACCCGGGTGCCCCTATGGCCCATGGCACGTCTCATGGTAGGGTGGGTGAGGGAGACACTGTGTACTATGAGGGTGGCAAAACACTGGCACAGGCTGTCCAGTGTGGTGGTGGCTGTCCCATCGCTGGAGACATTGCAGGCCAGGCTGGATGTGGTTCTGAGCAACCTGGACTAGTTGGAGATGTCCCTGCTCTTTGTGGGGGATTGCAACTGGATGAGCTTTGAAGGCCCCTTCCAACCCAAACCATTCTGTGATTCCATAAAGGGTGTCAGGAGAGCTATCATGCCAGCCCTGGGGACTGTGTCAAGACAAGCCTATCACAGGGTGCTTCCTACACCCAGGACATGCCAAGAGCCCTCACCCACCCCCCTCTGTGCTCATCATAGTGCTAGGGCCTGGCTCAGCCCAGGGGTGAAGCTGCTGCCCTGCAGCACAGCGAGCACACCATGTCCCCGGGGTGCAGGGGACACCCCATCTTGGGCACGGCCAGCCTGCAATCCCCCTCCCTACTCTGGGTAACAAACAGCCACATGGGAATCACCATCCTCTGGCAGGTACACTGAGAAGGGAACAAGGCATCATTTGCTAACCACTTTGGGATCATAGAAGCCAAGCTGCCATAGTTCTAAAGGGACTGGGAATGCTTTTGCAGGGTCCTCACATGAACAAACCCCTCCATTTACTCACGGGCCAGCCTGGCCTGCCTGAGGATTGGCCACAGACACCGTCAGAACCGCTCCAGGGCTGGGTTTCACTTGCCACCTGCCGAGACAGGGACATGGATGCAGCTTCGAGCCGAGCCTGCAAGAGCACGGCGTGTTTGCAGCGTGCTTGGGTCACCAGTTACCTTCTCATCCGCGGTGGTTTCCTGTTGCCATCAGCATCCATCTGCTGGGAAATACATTTGAAATAATTACTTAAGGATTAGCTCTCAGTGACTAAGGCCGTTTCCTCTTGTCCCATCCCTTGTTCCTTGGGAGCAGAGCCCAGCCCCTCCTGGCTCCATCCTCCTGTCAGGCAGTTGTAGGGAGCCATCAGGTCCCCCCTGAGCCTCCTCTTCTCCAGACTGAACCCCCAGGTCCCTCAGCCGATCCCCATCACACTTGGGCTCCAGGCCCTGCACCAGCACCATTGCCCTTCTCTGGACCCACTGCATGAAAATCTGCCTGTCCTGCAAATACTTCCCTAGCAACACACTCATCGTTAAAGTCTTGCACCTGTCCCAGGAACTTTTGGGATCAAAGATACAACGGGTAAAACTGAAGCCTTGTCACCATCAGAAGAGAACAGAAAACGTCACGATACTGACCCCTCTCTGAAATCTGGCTTTGAGAAACTGCTGCTGCATCCGCTTCTGCTGGAAGGCTGGTGCCCTGTTCAGCCGGAAAGGTCTGGGGGAAGAAGGAGAGAGAAAAGGACATAGGTGAGCATGATGCCAGGTCTCTCCTGAAGTTAAGTGCTGCAATGCCTAACCCAGCTTGGGATTAAAAAGCAGTAGGGGAAGTAAATGCAGGTCTTTGTTACCAAGTTCAGCCCAGCAGGTTTTCTGGCAGCAAAGCTGTTCAGAGGAACTTGTTTTTCTGCTCAAATGAAACAACAGTTTGTGTTGGTGCTGAGCTCTGCTTCTTAAAAACAGATCAAAAAATCACAGAACCCCCAGACTGGTTTGTGCTGAAGGGACCTTAAAGCTCATCCAGTTCCAAGCCCTTGCCATGGGCAGGGACACCTTCCACTGGAGCAGCTTGCTCCAAGCCCCTGTGTCCAACCTGGCCTTGAGCACTGCCAGGGGCATTTTCCCCCTGTAGCATGAGCACGTGGCTGCAGTCACTCCGAGGAGAGGCCCGGGGCTGCCCAGGGCACCTCTGGAAGCCAAAAAATCCCCAAGTTACTGAAGATTTTACCTTCTCCCTGCGGCCTGGGCGCTGGCAGCGGCTGCTCTGAACCTCCTGGGGCCTGGCGGTGGCCGTCGCCGTCCCTCTGCCTGCACGACGCTGCTGCTGCTGCTCTTGGAGAAAGCGTCATTGTTCGTGTTGCCCTGAAAGAGCAGTGAGAGCTCAGCCACTGCCACCTGCCCCACAGCCTCAGTGCATGAAACAGCAACCATGCAGGCATGGAATGGTTTGTGTTGGGAGGGACCTTAAAGCTCCTCCAGCTCCAACCCCTGCCACGGGCAGGGACCCCTTCCACTGGAGCAGCTTGCTCCAAGCCCCTGTGTCCAACCTGGCCTTGAACACTGCCAGGGATGGGGCAGCCACAGCTTCTCTGGGCACCCTGTGCCAGCACCTCAGCACCCTCACAGGGAAGAGCTTCTGCCTAAGAGCTCATCTCAGTCTCCCCTCGGGCAGGTTAAAGCCATTCCCCTTGGCCTGGCCCTACAGGCCCTTGTCCCAAGCCCCTCTCCAGGTTTCCTGCAGCCCCTTTAGGCACTGGAGCTGCTCTCAGGTCTCCCCTTCAGGAGCCTTCTCTTCTCCAGGCTGCCCCAGCCCAGCTCTCTCAGCCTGGCTCCAGAGCAGAGCTGCTCCATCCCTCGCAGCATCTCTGTGACCTCCTCTGGACTCACTCCAACAGCTGAATGTCCCTCATGGAGGCAGCACAAGCACCAGGACATGACCATCCTTCCCTCCACTCCTCCATTGATCCAGCATTTTCTCTGGCTCTGTCTGGGGGGAATCACCCCATCCTGCCCTGCAGTGCCAGTGCTGATCACTGACTCAGCCATGGTTCCCTCCATGCTCTCAGTACCACTTGCATTTGCTTCGGAGGGGGCTCATCCCCATGCTGTGTGCTCAGCGTTCCATGTATTCTCATTCCCAGCTGTTTTTCCTTTGCAACTTCAGTCTCACAGCAGAACAACCCTGCGCTTCTGGTGCTTTTTATTTTCCTCCTTTGATATTTTCTTGCTGGGACCCAATTCCTCAGGAACTCTATTAAAAAACTGGCCTCTTACATGGCCTTTTGTATCTACGCCAGGAATATTTCTACTGAGCAGTGTTGCTGGAGCCTCAACATTTGGAGTCAGTATCCACTGCTGTCAACACTCGGTTCATGGGCATCAAGCTACAAGTACCAGGAAGAGCATTTCATTCTAATGGTGCAGAAATCCAAAACCAGAATGAGTCCATGGAGAGCAAACCTCACCCAAGCAAAGCTTTGTAGCTTTGCTCTAGTTTCTTTTCGGTCATTCACTCTTTCTTGTTTGGACACATTCGTTGCCCATTCCAAGCCCTGAAGCATGAAGCACATCAGAAGACCCCTCATCAGTGTAGGTCCTCCTGCAGCTACTTAATACCAACTGCCATGGGCTCTAACTCATCTATTTCTGTGGGACAACCACCACCAGCGCTCCTCCCCACTAACTGGGAATGTGTTTCCAGATTCTTCCCACTTGGTTTATTTCTGCAAAATGGAAGCTACAGCAGAGTTATGCCTCCTAGCAACTGCTTATCCCTCCTGGTAACACCCAGCCCTGCGCACTATCTTAGTCATCCCACTTTCCTTTCAGGAATAACCACACACCATGCACATGCATGCTCAATTAAGGCTCTCTTCTTTATAACCCCGGGACACAGCCATTCAGTGTCCCATTGTGTTCACCACTTTGGTGGGGTTGTAAAAGCTTACTGAGAATACATGACCTCCTAATTGAGTGGATCTCCATCAGTGCAGAAGGAACAGCCCCCTCTCACACAGGACTATCTATTCACTTGATTTCCACCCTCTACACCAAGCCAGTTTCATGGTAGTGACACCCAGCAGAGAGCTGTGAGAATGACTTTAAGGGTGAACATGGTCCATCTTGAGTGTTAAAAATAGCTCAAAAAAAGAAATGAAAATATTTCAATCTTTTCTTTTTAAGTGTTTTTGAGCAGAGATAAGACCAAAACACTTAAACTTGTAAAAGGGAAAGCCATGAATGAAAAACTAAGCATTTTGCATGGAAGAATATCGTCAATCTGTCCCATGGCTTCATAGCCCTGGGAATCAGTGTGTCTATGGGGGATACCCACTTGCTAGTGAAAAGTACCTCTCTGAACCAAAGCTACCTGAAGTCACCAACAGCCTGGCCTTTGCCTTCACTACATGTTGGAAGGTGCTCTGGGTGGAGGACAAGTAACGGTGACTCCTAACACACCTCCTCTGATGTGTGTGAATTGGAATTTGGTTTTATGGAAATATTTTAAACTCATTAAGAACACATTCCTAAAAAATTTGTCTTTGTAACCCCCTCGGGAAATGATTCACTCCAATTATGCCAAGTCATAAGCTCATAAAACCAACTGGAAAATTGCTATTTTATATGCATGTGCCTGCACTCACCTCTGCATACAAATGCAGTTACAGGCACACACGAGACGGGGCCTGGACATTTGTTATGCAGATTGTTCTTTGGGGAGATCCAGGATCACAACCCCAGCAGGTTTCCGCATGACATTTGGGAACAGCTCTGCCTTCCTCACCCCCGTACCTCTGGAGCCGATGCCTGGCGATTTAAAGGGCTCACTCCATTCAATGCAGCAGCTGCTCTTCTCCTGGGACCAGGCACAGCATTCCTGAATTGTCTCCGGTTGAACTGTTGTTGTCCAAACCCTCTTCTAAACCGGGCAGGTCCTACAAAAACAAACTCTTTGTTTAGCATCCTTCAAAGCTCAGTTCACATTTACAGTTTTGCCAGTGGCTTACACGGTGCATTTAATATGATACAGGAGTGTCTGCAGGAATAGATGCAAGAATCGCATTGAGTTAGTCCAGAAAAGTAAAGTAACTTTGCAGAATCTTAAATAATTTATCTTTCCAATAATAATTCCCACTCTGTGTGGGACACACAACCGCTTACAAACCACTCTGTGATTTGATGGCTCTGGGATTTAATTTGAAAGAATATAAAAGAGAAAAGCCTTCCGCAACTCTGCCTCCTAATAAAGGCAGGAACACTTGCATCAGGAAACCTGTCACTCTCTTGTCAGAGCTACCATTGCTGGGAATTCACCGTGAAATGGAAAAAGCCTTTGGATACAGATACACAAGTGACGCGAGCATTCAGTCCCACAGCAGCCTGGGAGAGCTCTAACTGCCCACATTATAGAACTTGGTAAGCGAAGACCAGACCATCATTTTTATATATTAATATATATCTATTTCTTTAGTTATTTTCAGCATGACATATCCTGACGTACTGTATACATTGAAGGGTGCCTCTTCTGCTGCTGTTTTACCTCACTGCACAGCACACACACACTAACAGCCTATCTTGCCTTCAGTGTCTTCCCCTAAGCCTGTTTATGAAGTGTGCTGAAGCATCAAGCAAGGAGAAGGCACCCAGTCAGCCAGAGGTGCAGTGCACTAAAGCCTAATTACTCCACACGATAAACTTCTGTAGTCATAACGTAGACCTTTTCCAGGTGGCTATAGACACGAGTGAAACATGCATACATACTCAGACAGGTGTACTGATCACTTAGGCCAGGTTGGACGGCGCTTGGAGCAAGCTGCTCTAGTGAAAGGTGGCCCTGCCTGTGGCAGGGGTTGGAGCTGGAGGAGCTTTAAGGTCCCTTCCAACATAAACCAGTCTGTGAGTCTATGATTCTATGATCAGGCATGGCAGAGGGCTGCAAGGCAGTAACCCTGGACCTCACTGATACACACTCCAGAGCAGTGGGATGCATGTATTGATCCTACACCATCAATTCCTGCATGACAGCAATTCATAATGACTCGGAGCAGTCAGAAATGAAGTGCCCTGAGGCAGCAGTGATGCTGCTGTCAAGGGCCACCACCACAGTGATTAATGAAGGCTCCAGCCCCAGGGTGTGTCACTGGTTGGTGCCAGCTTGGGCTGGTTACACTGGAGGCCAAGGGAGGTGACTTGAGTTGCCCTGGCTCCAAAACAAAAAGGCACCAGGGCATGTCCATGGGAAGGAGCTTCTGAGCAGCTCATCAGGGTGCTGTCTGGGAGCACCCACAGAAATGCAATTCTGTTCACTAGCTCTGGGGGGCCAGTGGCTATCTCCTTTGCAAATGATGGTATTTCTCCCTGCAGAAGTGCAGGTGTGTAAATGTTCTCCTGACAAACACCTGAATTTGGACAATCTGTGTCTTTTTGACCAGAAGTGGTCTTGCTGGGTTGAATGGCCTTTTTTTCTCTTCTGGGTCTGCTCCCCCAAGAAACCTGGAGAGGGCCTTTGGGCAAGGACCTGTAGGGACAGGCCAAGGGGAATGGCTTTAACCTGCCTGAGGGGAGACTGAGATGAGCTCTTAGGCAGAAGCTCTTCCCTGGGAGGGTGCTGAGGCGCTGGCACAGGGTGCCCAGAGGAGCTGTGGCTGCCCCATCCCTGGCAGTGTTCAAGGCCAGGTTGGACACAGGGGCTTGGAGCAAGCTGCTCTAGTGGAAGGTGTCCCTGCCCATGGCAGGGGTTGGAGCTGGGTGAGCTTTAAGGTCCCTTCCAACACAAACCAGTCTGGGGTTCTATGATAAAACCCCACAGCAGCAGCATGTGGGGAAGCCACATGTGCTGAGCACACCTGAGTCAGCCAAGAAGCTCCTCTGCCCAGCAAGTCCAGTCTGGGAAGAAGCCCTCATGTCTGACAGACTGTTTTTCCAAGAAGATCTGAAATTCAAATTTCTTGCCATTAAAAATCCTCTTTCTCCACTGGGGAGATTGTTTAAGCCCTGTTCCTGGAGGGATAACGCACTTCACTGGCACAAATGCTCTTACTGGTTTAATCAGCATAATACCCGTCTCTGTCTTCTGTCATTACAGCACTGGGCTGATCTGATTTTGATAACAGTTATCATGCCTCAGCCCTGAAGGGTCTGCGTTTCAGCAGGGACCAAAGTGAAATGAGCCCCTGAGTAATTACAGGCTAAATTCCCAGTTGCGCTGAGCTTCACAGAACTGCTCCGGGCATCAGCACCACAAAGCATGGTGAGTGTCTGCACTTGGCAGGGCTGAATGCAGACTCAGTTCAAGCCTAGGAAACACTAGGAGTAGCAGAAATAAATCTAAAAATGAAGAGGAAAGTTCTCTGTTCTGAGGAACAGCTCAAACAAGGTATTTTGTTCACTTTATTTGACCCTGAGTAGTCACTTGAGTGTGGAAGAATATCAAAGCCTGTGCTTTGACAGAGAAAATCAATTTGCAAAGGGCAACAGTCATCATTCTGTTCTGAGCCTGAACGATTCTGTGCTGGAGACCGAGAACTTGGGAGTGGAGGCAGATTGGAGCCAAGCAGGATCGTTCCCAGCAATCCCACTGTCCTCATGTGCCACTGGCACTCCAGAGGAAGCCTGCGAAGACACTACTGCAAAATGCCACCAAAATCTGCACTGACGTCATTTAAAGGGGAAAAAATAAAGCAAAATGGTGCTAGAGGTGGTATTTCATGCAGCAGGTAACGATGGGTTTGTAGGTGAAAGCTTGTGGAACCAGAGATTAGCGTGTGATCACTTGGTATCATCATAAAAATAGCATGGCTGGCAAAAGTGACAAATTAGCTCCAATAACTGAGCTATCAGAGACAGTTACTGAAGGGGTAATTTAAGTGTGTTCTGGGAAAAAGAGGATTAGGAAGAGGAATAATTAAAATATGCAAAGCTAAAGGGAATAGAGAATAGATATTAAGTCACTTTGAATTAGTAATTCATGAGAGGGTGGAAGGGAGAGAAATGGATGAATTTATGCCCTGAAAAGGCCCTGATATTCCATTGTGTGGAGAGAAAAGCTATTCAGAGCCCGAGTGCATCTCACAGGCACACAGGGATTAGATAGGAGAAGGCTTTAGGAGCTGTATTTGGTCACACAAAGGTGTTTCCAGCTCGGCAGGCCTCACCTACCTTGCAAATTCCTCTGCATCCAGGCACGGAAGCGGGGCCGCCCGTACCCGTACACCGAGTTCCTGGGCTTGACCTGCGGCCTTCGCCCGTCCCCCCCGGCGCTGGCGTCTGTCTGCTCTTTTCGGTGGCGTTTTATGATGTCATCTAGATCAAAACAGCAAAGGGGAAACCTGTGAAACATACCAGCAACCTGGAACACCTACCACAACCCATTAAAACTGACCAACAACCTGTAAAACCAATCAAGAACCCATTAAAACCTGCCGGAGGAGAGATTGAGATGAGCTCTTAGGCAGAAGCTCTTCCCTGTGAGGGTGCTGAGGCGCTGGCACAGGGCACCCAGAGAAGCTGTGGCTGCCCCATCCCTGGCAGTGTTCAAGGCCAGGTCGGACACAGGGGCTTGGAGCAAGCTGCTCCAGTGGAAGGTGTCCCTGCCCGTGGCAGGGGTTGGAGATGGAGGAGCTTTAAGGTCTCTTCCAACACAAACCAGGCTGGGGTTCTGTGAGTATCACACATCAGCAAACAGAAAAAGGTAAATGACAACTGAGGGCGCTGCTATGGCTGTAAACCCTCCCAGCAGCATTAAACCACGGGTGCATCAGCCAAGGGATCAGCTTGAGTTCACAGTGGAAAATGTTGCGCTATTCCTGACAAGTGGCTCATTGCTGGGAGGACGCGACACGAGCTCCCGGGTAGGGAGCTGACCCAGGGATGAGTTGCCCACGGCAGGGGTTGGAACTGGGTGCTCTTTACGGTCCCTCCAACCCAAACCCGTCTGGGATCCGCCGCCTTTCCTTCCACACGGCGATGTCACAGCGATAACCCCCGGGACCGGCGGCGCCGCGGGTGCTCCTTGTGCGGCTCCCGGTGCCAGCGGAGCGGCAGCACCAGCGGCTGCTATAAATACCCCGCGCCCCGACACGGCTCCAGCTCCATTTCAGTACCGCGATCGTTCTCTTGGGGCTCTCCCCGCCGGAGCCGGGCGCTGCCCGCTCAGCACACGGACCGCTTTGGAGCCCTTTCTTCCCCCCGGGATCCGCTTCCACCGCAGCCGGGTGCGGGCGGCCGGGGGGGGGCACAGACCCAGCCCTGCGGGGCCGCCCTACGCTGCGCTGCCCGCCCCGACCCCGCACAAAGAGCCCCCCCGAGGCCGGGCCCAGGCCGCACCTACCCAGGGACATGTCGATCTCCTCGGCCCCCGGCTCCGGCCCCGCCGCCACCGGCCCCGGCTGCGGCCCCTCCGCCTCCATGGCTCCGACCGGGCTCCGCCGCCGCGCAGTGCGCCTGCCCGGAATGTGCGGCCCTGCCCGGCCCCGCCGCCGGCCCCCGCCCCGGGCACGCCGGGCCCTGCTCTGCCCCGCGGCGCTCCCTGCCCCGGGTCTGCGCCCCCCTGCACCCGGCGATCGCTGCCACCCGGAGGGACGTGCTGGGGCTGTTCAGCCGGGGGGAGAGGAGCTGCGAGGACACCTCAGGGCAGCTTCCAGTGTCTGAAGGGGGCTGCAAGGACTCTGGAGGGGGCCTTCATCAGATTGCGGTTGTGCTTTTATTCCAGTCAAGGAAAGCGGGAATTCCTGCATCCATTTTTCCTTTTTCCTCCAGGTATTTTAGTTCCTGTGAGTTGATATGGCCCGGAATATTTTTAATCGTGTTATGAAGTTCTGCTTTACAGAAAGAGCTGTTTGGCAAAACTGCAGCAGATGCACAAATAATTGCTATTCATGTACAAAGAGGGTTATTTCTGGCTGCTATAGAGGAAGATAAAAGATTTCATTAACCCTACCTTAGAAAGCACTGAGTATTAAAGAGGTTCTTGTTTCATCTCTACTACACTTTTCTGCCATTAAAACAATTGTGTGGGTTTAGTGTCTCTTTATGTTTGATGAAGGCCAAAAAAACACACGTACACAGCAGATTTATAGCTAACAGAAAGCACATTTCTAATAAAATGAATAGTTAATTGCAAGATTCTCTGTCTTAGAATGCTAAAATCAAAGTGTAACAGATTTTATAACCATGATGTATCTATTTTAGACAAAAAGTGGTAGAAACTTCTTGCCTGCACGAAGTTGAGCACTAACTTGGAGGCTGAGATAAATTTCACCTCCAAAGGGACTATTCCATAGGTGTCCATATTGCAGTTTTCAAACCTCTTTCATGGGTCAACTTTTACAGATCAGAGCAACAGCTTAGATGGACTGCTGTTCCATGGCAATGTTTCAGTCCCTATAGTCAATGGATTTAGGAATGCAAAAGCCCTTGTGAAACTGGGATCACTGTGAATTTGCTTATGAAAACCATTTTTCATGCTTTAGATTGCCTGCCCTATTGATTCATTTATACCAGAGCACTAGAGAACAGCTTTGTAACAATAATGAAACATCTTCCATTTCTAAACAGACACTATCTTCAATACACTTAGGAATGGAGGCAGCCTATGAGACTCCTGATAGCAGGCATCACCTCCAGCGAGTGCACATCGAGCAAATGCGTCACACGGGGCTGACGATCCCATTCTTCTAGTGAAGAGGTAAGGACATGAAATAGCTCATGAGCATCCTATTAAACAGAGGCACGAAACTTAGAGGAAGCAAAACCAAGAGACATCAAACCATACACCAGGAGTACTGATACATGAAAAACTATGTCATTGTAGTAGGAAAAGTTACTGTTTAGAGCCCACCTAAGGTACTGGAAATCTTGGATGTTACATGTAACTAAATTTGGAAATGCCAGTATGAAATGCCAACTGAAGTAGTGGCACAGCCCTGTTATCTACAGCGAGGTTAGGGCTCTGACTGTTAAACTTTAATACTACTGGCTGCATTGTACCTGATCTGAAGGTATTTAAGTATGAGGTCCTGAAAGGTTTCCATGGGCAAGTGTGAAAGCAAACTGAAAACACCATTTATCGGTCACATGGTTGTTCTTCACTTTTTAAAGCAAACTTCCCCCCAGCAAAGATTCGGATTTGACACCCGGGGCTTTCAGTGCCATAGTTTCAGTTTTCCTTCGTCCATCTCGGAGCACTGAGGTGGGTATCGGTATCGGGCAGCCTAATACGAGTTCTGTGCTCACCGAGCCGGGCTGAGCCGAGCAGAGGCGCTCCCGCGCCGCGCGGTGCAGTGCCGCCGCCGGAGCTGTCCAGCCGCTTCCCGCAGCCCCGGCCAGCCCCGCCGTGCGGGAGCCATGAGAGCAGCGCCCGCAGATGCAGCCCTGCGATGGAGGATGGTTTATCCAAGCTCAGACCGCTGCCGGGAGTAGCGGCGGCAGGGAAGCGGGGTGCGCCGGGCTCTCCGAGCCCGCTGCGGGGATATTGTGAATGCCGGCGGTTTTCCCGGGCGTTATCCCGAGGCAGTGCCTTAGGTCCGGGTTTTCACTTTGCTGCTGTTTCTGAAGCACTGTGTGTGTTAACGTCTGCTGTTAACATTATTTCAACGGACCAAAACTCCCGTCACTTGTGTGATGTTTTGTGCTTTGCCCACAAGGGGGGGTCTTTAGGCCTTTTAATTGCTGAGATCTCCGCATCATTCTCAGCTCCTAATGAGGAGGAACACTGGTAGCAGCACAGCTTGGTCAGCTTCCTCCAAACCTGGTGCACCACCACCAAGGAGCTTATGTTTTATTGTTAGATGCTGAACATGGCCTTTTAACCATATGTTGCTACTTGAAAATCTCCGTGAGAAGATGGAGGAGAACAGAAGTGTTCTTCAGGCTGATTGAGAAAACTCCCGATTATGCCAGTATTTCCCTACATGACACATTCCCAGAAGATGAACTACATTGTGATAACACTGTGGTTCTTATGCAGAAGTTCTGCCTGGATGCTGCACTGCACTGCATTGCAATGAAGTGGCTGAGGTACATGTACCATGAGTTCTGCTCAGTGAAAACAACCGTACACTGAGAGGTGAACCACTTCTTGTTAAGTTAGTGACAAATTCTGTGATTTGCTTCTTGGCCATGTAGCAGATGCAGCTCATATGTGGTAAGACTGCAAGGTATTTAGAGAGGGCTTGTGGGTGTTTTCCCTCTCTCTGTATGGATATTAAAATGGAGATCTCAGCCTGGTATATGCAAAACTGCTCTTACAGTCCATATTAGCTCTACCTCTGCACTATACGGAACATCCTTAAAGTCATTGCGTAAGACACATGTCTAGATCTGGAGGTCTGCAGGATGATTTAGCATTTGTATTGAAGCACAATATAATTGATGTGCAATTATCTGGGGAAAAGTAACAACAGTTACTTCTGATCCTTGGCTGTCTGTTGTATATCAGAGATGTGGCCTTTGAAATGCATGGCATACTCAATGAAGGATGATAGAGATGGCGCAGGCTTGAACTCCACACATAACACGTGCAGGGTGACCAGGGAGTCGGCAGCTCCAGTGCAAGCTGTAACCAGTCTCACCTCAGAATCACAGAAGGGTTTAGGGTGGAAGGGACCTTAACCAGCCCAGTAAACTGGGGTACACATCCCCCCATGCTGCTGGGCTGGTGACTGCAGTGTAGGAGTAATTTTTGTTCCTGTTGCTTCTTGGGGTCTCTCAATACTAAAGTAAACCTTCACTGAAAGGGCCACACTTCTAATTGTACCAAGAAACAAGCAAGTCTGTTATGCTACTGTATGGCAAAGGAGTTACTCAAAATAGAATAAAAGGACAAATCCTGTTAGAAATCACACTAGAAAGATCAGCTAAGGATAAAGGCCTCTGCAGCACCACAAGGAGGTATTTCCAGTGCCTGTAATTGGAATAAGTGGTACTTGAAATTATATCTTGGAGGGCTGAGACTGCCCTCCCCCCTGCCTTCAGAAGTGTATATTCTGGTGCTCCATGAACCTTTGCTACCTGTACAATTAGCCAGATGCTCCCAATGGAAAAGCTACCAGGAATCTTCTCATTAATGGATCTACTGTCTTGTTGTGGTCTGTACAAAAAGACTTTTAAGAACAGATAATGCTTACCAAAGCAGCTAGACAGAATCCTGCTTGCTGCTTTTCCATTCAAGTATCAGATGCTGGAGTATTTTGAGCTATTTCCAGCTCTTTGAAACTGGTATTTCAGATAAATCACTACCCTGCAGCATGGGCAGTGTGGCATTTGCCTTTTAATCTAACAAGAATATATGGTTTGCTTGCTTTGCTTTCACAGTGGGCTGGATGATGCCATTTTAATAGGAAACTTGAATCCAGTTATTTGGAGATTATTTTCCCTCCCTGTTGGAAGCTGTGGACACTCGCAGGTCTTGAAAAAGCAAAGCAGTAGCCAGTAGGAATAGAGCATGCACTGATCTGCAAAGTGAGAAGGCATTGAAGAGCAATCAAGGAGATGGCACGAGGACCATATGAGTGCTGAAACAACAGTGAGGGTGTTATCTCAGTACCTCACACATGTAGGAGGACTGAGGCTACTCATAGAGCAGCATAGTAAGAACATTATGAAAGCTCTGCTTTAATTGCTTAAAGCAAGAAAGACTCTAAAGGATGCAAAAAAAAAGATCAGTGAAATCTCCGGAGGATTTCATTTCTCACAGCAAACAGCAACCAAGGGATCTGCTTTGTCTGCAGCTCAAGTGTTTAACCCAGGAACATTGGAAGGTTCAGTGGTGTACATTTTGGGCACCCCTCTTGTTTGGCCTTGGGTGCCCAGAGCTTGTATTGCCTGGCAGAGGCCTGCAGGTCAGGAGAAGGTGCTGCTGGAGCATTGCACAGCAGGAGAGCCCAGGCAGCACCTCGGCTGTGTGTCTGTGCTCTGATGCTCTTGTCACACACACTGACCTGAACTGGGACACAGCCTGCAGTAGACTCTGGAGAATTATGTAGATACAGGAGAGATAAGGGACCTCACTCGTGCTTTCCCCACCCTCATAACCAATTTTAGACTGACATTTCATAGAATCATAGAACGCCAGACTGGTTTGTGTTCAAGAGACCTTAAAACTCATCCAATTCCACCTCCCTGCCACGGGCAGGGACACCTTCCACTAGAGCAGCTTGCTCCAAGCCCCTGTGTCCAACCTGGCCTTGAACACTGCCAGGGATGGGGCAGCCACAGCTTCTCTGGGCACCCTGTGCCAGCGCCTCAGCACCCTCACAGGGAAGAGCTTCTGCCTAAGAGCGCATCTCAGTCTCCCCTCGGGCAGGTTAAAGCCATTCCCCTTGGCCTGTCCCTCCATCCCTTGTCCCAAGCCCCTCTCCAGCTTTCCTGCAGCCCCTTCAGGCACTGGAGCTGCTCTCAGGTCTCCCCTTCAGGAGCCTTCTCTTCTCCAGGCTGCCCCAGCCCAGCTCTCTCAGCCTGGCTCCAGAGCAGAGCTGCTCCAGCCC